CAGATGCTCTTTTGTTGCCAGTTCAGGGAGTCTTAGGTGTTTGAGCATGAGATTGTTCCATCTCCTTTCCCATTGGGGTTGCTTTAAGTGATCTGGAAGTCTGGTTTTGAGAGTTGTTTACCTGTCTTCTCATTTCAATGGTGGTGGTGGGAGGGAGGGTTGTGTGCTGCTGGCCCCTGTGCGGCTCAGCTCCTCAGCACTGGGCGGTGGTTGTATGGTGGCCTGGAATGTTCACCTCCTCTGTACTGGGGGTAGCTCTGCTCCTTGGTGCTGGGACCAGTGGTACAGTGGCCTGGAAGTTGATTTTTTTTTTTTTTTTTTTGAGCTGGGATCAAACTCAGCAGGACCTTGCACTTGTGAGGCAGGTGGTGGAACAACTCAACTAAATACCCAGTCCCAGACAAAGTATCGAATGTAGTGATGAGAACACCAAGTGAGCACAGTTATAATTCTTTTCTGGGATTAATATGTTGGAGCCAGAGAGAGTAACTCTTCATTCTTGGGGGTGCCACACTGAGAGGATGTCAGGTTGGTGTTGCTGGCAGCTGTTTTTCCTGCCACCTGGGGGAGGGCATGTCTTCAGTCAAAAAGAATAAGTGTGGACAGAAATGAGAGGTAGACAGAGACATAGGGGTGAAGCACTAAGCTCCTGGTTCCTGAAGTTTCTTCATCAGTTCTGTGAATTTCCCCCATATCTCTTCTACCATAATGGTACAATAAACTTAAATTTGCTTATACTAGGTTTGTTGTGTTTTTATAACTTGCAACCACAAAATCCTAATAAAGTTCTTGTGACTGTAGATAAGACATTATCACCACCAGTGAAGGGCACAGTCAGTAACCATAGTGAAAATACTCAGTTCCCCTTAATAAGATATGAAGGTGAGCAACATGTACATACACTTAATTTGAAGGAGTATTTTGGAAATTTAATATTTTAATTTCTTTTGTAAACTAGTTAATAGAATCCAGGTCCACTAAAGCCAATAGTGTACAAGGAGTGATTGAAAAAAAATGGTGACTGTCTTGTACATAGGGAGAGGAGGAGGTGTAATGGGGGAATGGGATGATAACATTTATTAAAAAAACTTTGAAAGCAAATAAAAATGAAAAGAAATTAAAATTTTAAAATTAAAAAATATTTATTACAGTAAAAGACACGTTGCCATTATTCTCCTTCAAAGTACTCCCTTGCTTCAAACACGCTTATTCCACTGTTCTTGCCACTTTTTGAAGCAGTTCTGGAAGTCTCTTTTGTGAATGTCTTTACGAGGTATATTAAAAAATACAGTGAATGCTGTTGCCAAGTGCCCTCCAATGGAAAGGCAAACTAATAAAAACACGACAGTGTGCCCTCATCCACTTTATTCACTGGATCTGTCACCATGTGACTTCTAGCTCTTCCTCAAAGTCAAAATAACCATGAAAATTAAATGTTTTGAATTGATTCAGGACATTGAGGTATATAGTACAGCACAACTACATGAAAGAGGGCTTCCAAAGTTCAGAAAGTGGCGAGAATGATGGAATAGATGTGTTCAAAGTGAGGGGGAATATTTTGGGGAGACAAATGGGAATATGTCTTTTGCAATAATTTTAAAAAAATTTAAACAAGCCATATTTTTAATTGCACTTTGTAGATATTTACCAAAATGTGGTCAAATATGTTCAAGTTTATGTGAGGGTGTGCTGGTCTAGAATAAAAGGGGACAAAATCAAGAAGTGAAAAACAAAGTAAGAATTTAATCACCCTGGATTGATTATAATTTCTTAGGAATCAAACGGGGAGAAAGGAGAGATGGAAGGATGAATGACCGCCACTGTTCTGTAGCCTTTTAAAAATATCTTTGTTACATTTTAGGTGGCTCATGGTTGTCCACAGTTCATTGTTTTCAAGGAAGTAAAGAGTATTAACAGATTAATAGAAAGTTCTAAGACATAACTTGGCTACCTTAGTATTTTTAACTGTGTTAACATTCAATTTGGGTTGCAAAGTGAACTAATTTGCAAATAGCACAAATTTGATAGGAGAGTCTGGGTTTCTTGTATCATTTTCAAATATTTCAATTTTGAAAGCATCCATCCTACACAAAAGTTTTATTTTGCAGGCATCTTTTTAAAAAGAAAATATTTATGTTAAAAATATTAACATTCTGTCAGAGAAAAATGAAGTGCAGATAAAAAGCCATAGTATTTTACTTTATTTTATTTTTGGTACCAGGGATTGAACTCAGGACATTGCACTTGCCAGGGAGGCACTGTGCTGCTGAGCTACATCCCTGGCACAAAGCCTTATTATTTTAATCTTAAGTGTATATTAATAATGATAGCTGTATATTTCCTTTCTATTTAATACATTAACATAAAATCTAGATTAGGGATGAAATTCTAATTCTAGGTTAATTCTAATTCTAGATTGGGAGTGAAAATATCCTGACAATTTTGCAAGAAAAGTGATTTTACTAAGGTAATCAAAAATTGTTAGTATCATGCAGTAATATTCTAATTAATTGTGTGATTATCCTTTTAGTAACATACGTATTGCCTAGCACTTTTGTTTTATAACTTCACTCTTAAAAATTCCAGTGGCTTGTTTTCTTGTATTTCCCTTAATTGTGGTGATCTTAAACAGATCTTCAGTTTTAAATCTGCCAATCGTTCTAATACAGATGCATAAATACATTTTCTCCAGTTGGCTCTATTACAAAGACAGCTTGTTTGTGGGCACCATCAGGACATCTGCATTTTATTGGATATAATTTTTAGTAATAAAGACCTCCCACATTACAGATTCTTTCCAGCCTCAATTTGCCTGTGTGGGAAGCAAAAGAACTGTCACTCAGGGAGAAAAAGTAAATCCATATGGTACTGGGGATTCTGCTTCCCTGGATGCAGGAAGAAAGAGTTGAGTACAGACAGTGCCCCCAGCAGATCTTTTTTTTTTTTTTCTAAAAAGCTTGATGCTGTGGTCTGAATGTTGATGTCTTCCCAAAATCCACATGTTGAAACTTGATCACTAATGTGGCAGTATTAAGAGGTGGGGCCTTTGGAGATGATTAGGTCATGAGGGCGCCATCCTCTTTTTTTTTTTTTTTTTTTGGTATCAGGGATCGAACTCGGGACCTTGCGCTTGCGAGGCAGGCGGCAAAACCACTGAGCTAAATCGCCGGCTCCACCATCCTCTTGTATAGGGTTTGTCTCCTTATAAAAGAGCCCTGAGGGGCTCAATAGATCCCCTTGCCCTTCTACCACATGAGGACATGGAGAAGAAACCATCTTTGAGGAACACACACCTCACCAGACATTAAGTCTGCAGTTGCACTTATCCTTGACTTCCCAGCTTCCAAGAGTAAGCAGTAACTTTGTTGTTTTTGAATTCTTCATTCCAAGATATTTTGTTTGAGCAGTTCTAAAAGAGTAAGACATTTGTTGTAACAGCAAAGATTGCTGTTAGTTTCAATCTAGGTCTGTGGTTTCATCCCAGTTCATCCAGGTACCGTGACTGAAGCCATGGATGCTTGGAGAAAATTGTGAGGACGCACTCTATTTTGCCTCAATCACATTGTGTTTCTCTGATCTGTTTGCCCAATCCCTGGCTCTGCCACTGTCTTCCACTTTGGGGCTTATCTCTACCCCTTAGACTCCTTTGATCTTGGTTTCCCCTATTCAATCTTCAGTACTCTTATAGAACTTTGGCTCAAGTTTCCACACATTTATGATGTGTAGCACTGAATCTGTCAAAAAGTAGTCAAAACATTGTACCTTCAGCTTTATAAAGGTGACAAACTAAAGCTGTGAGTAGAATTTGAAGCTATGTCAGATACTCATTTTTAGAAAGTTACATGTAATTCTTCACCGTGCAGAAAAGAGACAGGAACTTTTCTTTTGATTGACACCAGAAACCTGGAACTGCTCATTTCTCTTGGTCACCAAGAAGGTGACAAGGAAATGTATCATCACATACTCTTTACTATCAGTGTTTCCTTCCTCAGGACAAACAAGAACAGCCTACTATCATCCTTGTATTTCTACCATCTACAGCTCCTTGCCAATTCTGAATTTCAGCCAGAGAGAAGATGTTTCTTTTAAAGGTACATTTATGTTTATGTACATGCAAGAAACTGGGTAAATTTAAATTTAGTTTAACAATGTTCCTAGTTGTTGAAGAGGACACAAGTATTGATTTAAAATGTATCTTTAAATACTTAATATCTATTTTAATTGATAAAATTGTGTTCAACCCCAAAATATGTTTACATCCTAACCCCTGGCATCTGTGAATGTGACCTCATCTGGAAACAGGATCGTTACAGTTGAAATCAATCAGTTAAGATGACATCTTAGTCACTTTCCTCATTGCTGAGACCCTACACCAAATACATGCAACTTAAAGGTTTATTTTGGGTCACAGTTTGTAGAGGTTTCAGCCCACAGCTGGCTGGCTCCAGGGCAGAAGTTCCACGATAGAAGGGCCTGGGCAGAGGAACACTGCTTACCCCATGGCAACTGGGAGCACAGAGAGTCAAACGGGCTGTTGGAAAGGGAAATATAACCTTTTGGGTCAGGTCCACAGTGACCAGGCACTACATCCTAATAGTAAGTCAGCTGTAATGCCCCATAATCCAATCACCTTCCAGATAGCTTGATAGCTTGATGAGGCTTGGGGGTAGGGGGTGGGGTAACATCTAAATATAAACCATAACAGATGACGTCATACTCTCTTAGGGTGGGCCACTTGTAGTATTTTATGCTTCTAAATCTGTAACACACATGATTTTTCTTAATTGTGTACATACAATTTGAGAAGTGATTAGGCTAAGGGGGAAAGATTCTGGTAAATTGAGTGTCTTCCTGCCCCCATCCTCATAGCCAAGAGGGTGAGAAGCTGAGCTTCATTTCGGGTGTATGGACTTGAAGGACAAATATAAACTATCTTACGGCCTAGGCGCTCCCCATGCCTTTCTTTCTGGCGAGCACGTTTGAATAAAGAAATAACTTACACTAATGTCTGTCCATGGACCAATCAACTTAGCAGCTTAGTGGCGCAGAGAGCATTCATGTGGGTTTGTGGGCCTCAGCGGAGTCCCTGAGCAGGCAGTTATACTCTCACAGCTCGTTTCCTTATCTGTAAAATGGCGATAATAGTATCATCTTAATGCGTTGTTTAGAGGACGAAATAAAGCAGAATGATGTAAATCTATATCTATATTATAGGGTATCTGGTGTCTAATGGGTGCTTTTAAATGTTATTACTTGCTTACAAGATCGCTGCTTACAGAAAAGATACTAACCCCCCCAGAATGCCCCGCTGCCCACATGCCGGAGACGAGTTGGGGCGCGGCTTCCGGGTCTCTCACCCCTAGGACCGCGGAGAGCGTGGGAGCAGCTGGACGCGCGGGCGGCGAGGGGGCGGAGTCGGCGGACGGAAGCGCTCGCGCGCCACTGTCAGCCGCGCCGGAAGTTCCCGGCCGGGCCTGGCGGTAACCTTGGAGGCCTCCCCGCCGCTACTGCCAGGTTTCGCTTTGCGAGTCTGAGCTTCAGCCAGCCTTGGCTCGATAGCTACCTTGCGCCGCTGCGATTGTGCGCTGAAGGCCGCGGGGAGCAGGCAGCGGGGCGCAGGGCTGCCCAGCCGACATGTCTTTAGTGGCGGAAGCCTTCGTCTCTCAGATCGCAGGTAGCGCGCGTGGCCGCGGACCGAGGCGGGGACGACGCGGGGCAGTTGCGGGGACCCACGTCGGGGATAGGGCCAGAGCGTTGCTCCAGCCTTGTGGCATTGGATGCCTAACCCAAACCTGGGGATGGAGGCGGCCACCGAGCACAAGCCTCGCTTTACTGATGAGAAAACAGAGGACATAGTTGGCCAAGGTCAACTCGCAGAGGCGGGAGTCCCGACCGCGTCTCTGGGGCAGCGCTTTGTCGCGCTCCCCTTTCCAGCTGGGGTATCGGGAGAACGCCGTGGATTGGGATTGAGGTGGGCCAGGCTTCACTCTAAGAGTGGGGGCAGTCTTTCGGTCGTGGGACCTAAGTTTAAGGTGACTGTCCCTGATGAGTCAATTTTGTTACCAATTGTCATTAAGGAGCCATCGAAGTTCTTCCTCTCCATACCACATAATAATACTGCCATTTGCTAAGTCTCTAGGCTTCATCGAAATACTTTAAATCGTCATGTACATTAAAGAACTAGCTTTGATTCGATGGACTGAACATGACCTATGTAAATAGATTTATAATATATTTTTAAAAAGTTTTTGTGTTTATTGTAGTGAAAGAAATTGTTGAGATAGTGAGAGACTAGGGTAGATATTTCAAAGTGTAGGTTAGTGGAGTTAATTTTAACTCTAGCGGTGTTTTCAACATAAGTACAGTAGTCACCAGGATAAACAAGTACATTTCAATAAAAAATATTTTGGAATTGAGTCGTATGGGATGTGTTATAAACTTTCCGAAAATGTTTTTCACTGCGGTGCACTTGGGTGAACATGTATTTCTTTTTTTGTCTTTTTCCTCTTAGATACATTGTTTTCTAGGAGAGAGAAGCTCCCGCTAGATTGTAAGCTTCATGAAAGCAGGGATCATACTTGGTTTGTTCCCCGTTGTATCTTGAGTGCCTGCTGTTGTCAGTAAATATTTGTGATTTGAACTAGTAAATAATATTGAGATGTCAAGCAATGATTATTTCTCTTTTTACCACTTAGGTTGAAAAATATCAGGCTATAGATCGGTGATTTATATTACTATTTTGTTAAAAAATAATTTCACAGTACATGCTGATATTGGTGTTCTGTGGGTATGCTTCCCAAAGTGTGATTTCTTTTAAAGAGAAATGAGTGTCTTTTAATAAACTTTTGATAAGCCTAGAAGTTTGCCTTAATTTAATGAAGTTTAAGAATTTCTAGGAATTTTGTCTGTTGTCTTAGTTTCCTCACAGAGGAAACAGTTAAAGAGGGATAATTCAGTAAATGGTATTGGAACAGCTCTTAAGTTCTCCATCACATGAGTAAATTCCAGTTGTATTAAAGATTTAAATGTAAAATAACAAAACAGATTGTTAGAAAATAAATAGGAGAAAACATAGGAGATTATTTTAATAATATTGGATTGCAGAAGAGGCATAAGCGAGACACGGAATCCAAAAGAGAAAAAATTGACAGAGTTGGTTGTGGAAAAACTTCAACAGCCTTTCATAATAAAAAATACCATAAATAAGTTTCTGCAAATTAATAATAAGATGTTTCATTTAAAAAAATAGAAAGATAGCCTAAAAGAATCAAGGGTGAAGGATCTGAACAGGGCTTTCACAAAAAGGGAAATGGAGACGATCAGTGAATAGCTGAAAAGATGCTTCTCATTAACAGATAATTTTTCCATCTAGGAGATGAGTAAAACTGAATATGATAATTTCTAGTATTGACAGGCATATAGGGAAGACAGTTACTTCAAACCACTGTTGAGGCTGTAAACTATTACTTTTTGGAACCTAATATGTAAATATTTATTGTCATCATTTGGGCCCAAAATCTCCTTATAGGGATTTATCTAATATAAATCTGAGACTGTACTTAAAGAAATATACAACAATATAACAATTGTTTGTAATAGCAAAAAACTAGAAATGACCCAAATGTATATCAAATTATGATGTACTGCTCCAGTCATCCCATTTCTGGGTATATATGCCCAGAATTGAAATTGGTATGTCAAAGAGATGTTTGTACTCTCATGTTCATTGCAACTCTGTAGTAACCAAGATGTGGAAGCAGCGTGTCTATCCACTGATAAATGAATAAAGTAAATATGGCATATATGTACAATGGAATACTATATAGCCTTAAAAAGAAGGTAGTTCAATCATTCACCACAACATAAATAGAACTGGAGGATGTTATGTTAAGTGAAATCAGGCATAGCACAGAATGACAAATCCTAGATGATCTTACTTATATGTGGTATCTAAAAAAGTACATCTTGTAGAAACAGAGTAGAAAGTTAATTACCTGAGGCTAGAGGGGGCGCAGAGGAGTTGGGTGGGGAAAGGATAGAAAATACCATTTAGACTGGAGTGACTTGTTACACCTCATGGTGACCACAGTTAATAATGTGTGTTTCAGAATTTCTAAAAAAATAATCTTTAATATTTTCATCACAAAAAACATAACTTGATGAGGTGATAGATATGTTAATTAGCTTGATTGAATTTCTAGAGTGTATATATAGAGCAAAAAACATTGTCAGTTAAAAAAGTAAATTTATAAAAATAGTATACTTGCATTTTTACAGATACTAAAAATGAGATCAAGTGCACCTGTTATATTGGCTTGTAAGCTCAGATTATATTAAGTAAAAGGAAATTATGGGATGCAATATATCTTGTATGAACTCATTAAATAAACCCTGTATAGACATGTATATGTTTGTCTAAGCAAAGAAAAATTTACGGAATATTCAGCTAACTTTTACTAGGAATTTCAGGGTAATAATAGAGTGTGGAGGATGGAGGAACTATTTGTGAATTATATGAATTACTATAGTGAGAATATTTTACTTTTGTAATTTAAGTAATTGTACTATTTTAAATTTAACAGATACTTTATGAAGTGAAAAGGGGGGCTAAAATAACAGTTTGTCTGAAACCTTGGGTTTGACTTGTAAATGTGACTCAGAACCTACAAGTATTCCCAGTGTTCTGTTTTTCATACTAATACGGTTTTCTTGGAAGGAAGTAACCTCAGAAGGATAGAGATATATATCTACATAGTCCTGTTACAGTGTAATGTATAATTAGGAATCTGTTTTTGTAACTGAGAGCTCTGATTTTTAGTGTATCTGGCACTTTGCTTATTATTGTGCCTTGCAGTGGATATGAGCTAATACTTTTTGGTATTTCTTTTGGAAACATTTAGTGGCATTTGGCGTCTGTAATATTTTTTACAGTCCCTTCTTTCAGAGCCTTATTCATAAGGATGTCTCTGGAAATTGCTATAGTTTGGATATGAAATGTTCCCCAAAGGCCTATGTGTTAAAGGATTGATCCCCAGAGTGGCGGTATTGGGGGGTGATGGGAAGGTTAAGAGGTAGGGTCCAGTGGGACGTCTTCTAGTGGGGATTTGCCTTCTCACGGAACTGAGATCCTGGTCTCTTCTGCTTGTTGCCTCTCTTGTCTTGGTCATGAGGTAAACGACTTTGCCCTGCTGCATGCTCCTTGCTGTGATATATACTGGCTTGCCACAAACTCAGAAGTGGTGAGTGAGTCTGACCCATGGACTAAAACCTCCAAAACTGTGAGCTAAAATAAGCCTTTCCTCCTCATAAATTGGTTATCTCAGATATTTTGTTAGACTAATGGAACGCCAGCTCACAGGGAAGCCTTCTCTGAGTTCCTCAGTTTAGCAAACCACTTCTCTTATTACTAGTGTATCTATCCCCCACCAAGTTTTCTGTCCTTGTTCTCTCCATCTCGACTCCTATTACCTTATTTCAGGTCTTTGTTAGTTCTTATTTGGAGTACTGTATTAGACTCTCAGTTGGTTTTTTGCTTCCAAAAGTCTCTACATTGCAGACCTCAGTGGTTTTTCATTTTGTTTTTAGTTTTATTTTCCTGAACTGTTAGACACCTGTCTCTGTCACACACATACACACACACACACAGGGGATTGAACCAAAAGCCTTTGTACTGAGGTACATCCCTAGCCCTTTTTAAATTATTTTTGAAACAGGGTCTCGCTAAATTGCTAAGTTGCCCAGGCGAGGCTTAAACTTTTGATTCTCCTGCCTCAGTCTTCCAAAGTCCTGGTGACTTCTCTTGTTTTAATGCCTTTATTGTTTTCCTAGTATCAGTAGGATAGAGTGGCATATGTGGTCCTCATGAGCAAGTCCAAGTCTCTCTCTCTGGTCTCATCTCTTGTCACACCTTTCCTTGAACTTGGGCCTTTCTAAGCTATTTGTACTGTCCACCCTCGGTACATGTTACCCTCTGCTTGAAATGGCCAACTTGCTTAGAGAACTACTGTTTCTTATGAGTCTGGGCACCATTTGAACATGTAAGTCTATCACACATTTGTTTTTCCTGTCAAATGAGAAAGGCTTATAGTGTTTTTTTCTAATAATAATAATAACAGTAATAACATATGACAATTATAAAGAATGAAAACAATCCAGAGAATTATGTCATAAAATAAAAATAATCAGAAATCACACCACCTAGATTAAGACTTTAAAATCTTAAGTTCATCTTTAAAACTTCAATGAACAAAGCTATATCATTCCCTTTCCTTTAATTAAAAATATATTTATAGTTAATATATAATGTGTCTCCTTTAAAACAACTTATTTGTTTCATATAGGAATCTTCATGTCTATGAGTGGAATTATATATCATTATTTTTGAATAGATATACAGTAATTGTAGCAAAGAAGCCATAATTTGTTTATGCAGTCATATTCTAATGGTTTTTTTAGGGTGTTGTTTCAGTTGAGCAGCAGTAGGATCTCTATCCTTCACACACACACACACACACACACACACACACAGAATTGGCTGATGCTGTGGTTGTGAGTTGTGAGTGCTGGCCAAGCAGGTTGAGAATGCACAACAAGCAATTGGCACGGGGAGACCATAGGACCAAGTCCCCCTTGAAGTGTCTGATCTGAGGGAGGACTTAGGCCCACTTTTAAAGG